ATTAAAAGAGGTTAGAGGTCCTCCAACTTATACGCGAGGGAAATTTAAACCCAATTGGATAGGACCATACCGCGTAATTGAAATTCTATTAGGAGGGGCAATTAGATTAATGGATATTGGTGGCAATGAAATCCGCCAATTAATAAACATTGATCGCCTTAAGAAATATTAAATATGAATTCTGGATAAACTCGTTCATTCAAATATTCTAATCAAATTTAATAGCATTCGTATAAAAGATTCTAAGTGTTATAAATTTTACCGAACTTCACAATAAAATTCACAACACTTGGGAGGTAGACAAAAAAAATTAAAAAAAATTCTCACTTAAGTGTTTTAAATTTTACCGACCTTCACGTTAAAATTAACAACACTTGGGGGGGTAGACCAAAAAATTAAAAAAAAAATTCTAAATTAAGTGTTTTAAATTTTACCAACCTTCACGGTAAAATTCACAACACTTAGGGGGGTAAAAACAAATTCAAAACGAGCCATTCAAGTGTTCGGATTTTTTCGAACCCCACGAAAAATTCCTCACACTTGGGGGTGTAAATAAGATATCGAAAAAAACTCGAAAATTATTCACTCGTTTTAAACCTAGGTTAAAAAAAATGAAACACTCGCAGCACAGGTGCCGCGCGCAACTCACAAGGTTGTGCTAGACTTCCGCACGCAACTAAATTAGTTGCGCACAGCTGGCGCGTGCGACTTCCATTGTTGAGCGCACCACCTGATGACGAACTGTGAACCTTTATTTTACGCTTGAAAGAAATCAATTACGATTTATACTAGCAATAAACGAAGGAGTATTCAATTCTCATATATATATATTCGGAAAACAAAAATTAAACTTTGATTTAAATTATTAAACAAGGCTTAATTAACTTTTCATTTACTCCTACAAATAGGATTAAAGGAAAATACAAAAAAAATATAATAAATTATTGTTGAACAAAAACTACACGAGACTTGATTTCGTAATACGAATACGTAGGCAATCCTTTGTTTTGGTCAAATAAAACAACAAATTAAATAAAGAGCTCTTTTATTCCAAAATATAAATGCATTCAAAGTACATCATAGACTTAGAAAATAATAATTAAAAAAAAAACGTTTAGTAGTGATTACACTTTATTCGAAATAAATACTACTAATAATATTGTGTAACACCCTAAGGTTTTACTATGTCCTCAATCGTTATGGTGGAAGGAGGAGTAGTACCATAGCAGTGTTCTCAGCGACCTTAGAAGTTTCACCTTCCCCTTTCTTCTTCAAAACCCACACATTGTTCTTTAATTTGGGAATGAGAACCTTTTCTATTCTTTTCCCCTTTCCTTTAGAGTTTGAAGGAGCCTTTTTTCGAGGATTTGAGGATGGTTCTTTGATTTTTTTTTTGCCTTGTTGCGCAGGTTTGGGAGCAACCTTCCTCTTAGGTTCTTGGAAGAGCCTTAGGAGATGTGGAAAAGTCCAACTTTTTTTCTCACTCCTTTGTTTTGGCCATTAGTAGGAATAGTGGTGGCCGATTCCACTAAAGGCTTAGGTGGATTACGAGCCAAAGCGGCTTGATTTTGTTGACGAGCCTTATTCAACTCTCCCTTGTCGGCCGCATTCATCCAAGCTTTGTAAAAGGAAGATAAAACTATACTTGCAGTGGGATTTTGCACTGCCCACTTAGGAAGACTAGTCCAATACTCAATCCAACAGGGAATTCTTTCGGCCTTAAAATTCACATCCTTGGGAGCATCACAATCTTGTGGAGGGATAAGTTGTTTCATCCCATATTGTCTCATAACCCTGCAAGGAAATATGTAAGTAGTACTGGAAATGCCCAAAAGGCGGATATAGGGACAATTAGGACTATTCCCAACCATACTACTTATGTTCCACCAAGGAATCTTAAAGAATATGTTAGGAACCCCATAACAGAAAAAAGCCGTCCATTCTTCTTCAATCTTATGCTTGTAAAGGATGCGACAACCAGGAAACGATTTCACTCCATTAGCCTCAAGATTTTGTGGCTGATCAACAATTCGCAAGCGCTCCATGAGCCAAATCTAAAAAACATCAAAAGTCAGAAAGCGAATATTACAACAGCAGGTGGCGCGCAAAAGAGAAAGAGTCGCGTGCCCCATCCACGCGCAATTGTGAACCTTGTGTTGGGCAAAATAGTGTAACCTTCGCAGTTGCGCGTGCTGACGAGTACGTGAAAAAAAAAATGTACGTGTAATAGAAGTGGACTTCTAGTGAAACCGTTATCGTTTAGATCTCCTCTAAGCCGATTCAAACAAAGAAAAGTTTCCACCAAGGCTAGTGGGGCGGGTCAATGACATCCCTTTATTTGCTCTACTACGGACTCCATTGAATACTCTCCATATTCTTTGCCTGTCCTTAGTAAACAATTGACGACAAAACAAAAACATAAAGCATGAATTTTAAAACGTTGTTTAGTCAAATTGTTTCGATAATGTTCGATGAATTGAATTAAATTCACGCTATGCTTCGTATCAATTTTTGCCATATCATTGTCATTCAAGCCAAAATAATCGCTGAAAAGCAGGTTTGGAATCTGACAAGTTAGGGGCATAAGTCACAAGGAGAGTATTTGCAGGGAAGCCTAGTAAAGCTTCAAACTCGCCAGGTAATGGGGTTATTTCATCCCATTTGAAGAGGAAAAGATGGTGATTAGAGTCCCAATGGTTAACAGCGCCATGAAGAAAATCAAAATTAATGTTGAGTTGCATGTAACTTAGCAAGGCATCTAGATGGTATATTTTAAAAGCTAACTTATTTTCACTTGAAAGGTAGGTTACCCATTGTTTCAATCGTTGCTCAAAAGGGAACTTGTAAAAAGCTACTGTGGGAATTTTTCAAAAGGGAATTTTTCAAGCTCTTTGAGCCCTACTATGGGTCTTGTTTTTAAGTATGGCGGCGCTCCAAGGAAAAGACGCTAGAGATAAAATAGTCGCCAACAAGTTTTAGGAACTTGTAAACCGTTCACGGGTGTGAAGGTTACACCCAATTCACAATCATAGACATTGCTAACTCCATAGTGGTTCGGAACCATGATGGATGTTCGGGTATGATGGTACGAATTTGACCTAAGAGAAGTCAAAACCGCCCTAAATAAGCCTCTACTTGATTCTTTTGATATTCATGCGCGTTTTTCGATCAACATAAAAACATTAAATTAACCCTAAATCTGTTTAGTCTACGTTGGTTGATTATTAATGTACAATCAAATCTATTATTGGTGGTCACTTGAATTAAGGTCATATTAGCCTAAATCAAATTATTAATTATCTTATTAGGCGTGATTTCAAGTACAAATTCCCTTTAAACCTGCAAAAAGGGGCGTGATCAAGCAATAATAATAAATCATGAAAAATCAAGCAACATATGATTATTTTAACAAACATCATCATAAAAACATCATCAAAACATTGTTAATAATAAGATCCTAGACATTATACTAAACGAATTAATAACAAACCCTAGCATGTCACTAATAATAAAATCAAATTAAAGCACTATCCTAAATATGATACTAGAAATCATAAAACATCCTAAGCATGATACTAGGAGTTCAAATAATATTGTAAACATGATTTTACTCCAAAATCAAAGAATAATAATAAGGGTGATTAAAGTACTCACTTTGATGCTTCAACCTTCTTGCTATTAAAAAAAACACACACATTAGTAAACTTCTAGAAATTTAAATCAATAAAGCAAATAAATCAAATATGAATTGAAATATAGATTTGGGACCAAACCCTCAAAACTATCAACCTTTCATGTCGAGGTCAAAGGCAACGTCGAGTATGGCTAAGAGCATTCGAATCTCGCGAAGGAGGTATTGTGACAAGGATGTGTTTAGGGTAAGATTATGGATTATTGATGATGATTGTTGGAGCTAGGTGATTATAACTTATGATTGATGGTTCTAGCTGATTTAAAACGGAGGAAAACGACCTCTATTTATAAGAAAAAATAAAGTCGAAGTAATCAGAAAAGATCAGAATTTGAAACAGGATAAAACTCCTTTTGATGCGGCGCGACAAGTGTATCACGGCGCTTTGGACTCAATCGCGCTGCGATGGAACTGGCGCGGTGCGTTAAATAGCAGTTTTTGCGGTTTTTGTTTTTATCATAACTTTTGATCCGGAAATCAGAATAAGATAAATAATATATCGTTGGAAAGCTCTGAAAGTCTAAGTTCCAACCCAATTAGAATCAGATTGATATCTTTTGTAGAATTTGAGATATGATTGAATAAGTGGACAGTGTTAGTTTTGGATTATAAAAAGAGAAGTTTAGTCAATCTCAAACTCTTTGATCTTTATCTATTCGGAAAGGATAAACTAGAAACTTCTAAAAGAGTCCTAATTAATTTAGGATTAGAAATTAAGATATTTAGACCCTCATATGATCATTGGGTCGTAGGTAAGATAGACCTAGGCTCGGTTTGGGCTCGGTTTAGTATTTTGGCCATAACTTGTTCGTTTTAAGTCGGATTTGGGCTAATAATATATCATTGGAAAGCTATTTTCAAGCCCCATACAACTAAAAAGAAATTAGACTAGAATTATGGACCAAAATAATCAGGTTTGGACGATTTTATGGATTGGACACAACCTGAATGATTTTAAGGACACGAAATGAATGATTTTGGGTTTAAAGGCACGAAATAAATGATTTTGGATTTAAAACATTTTAGAAAAGGTTAGGGACATGGTCAAGGCTTAAGGGAACTTCACAAGACTCTTGAACTCTTTACTGAACTCGTTAATCAAAGACGTGAAAAGTACTCATCACTGGGTTTGGTTTTTAGGGAGACACAATCAGGTGTCTACAGAAAAGTAGATTTCGGGACAAATCTAACTAGATCCCACATGACTGTGTTTTTCCTAATGGATACTTCCTCTATTCTGCTATTATTGCAACAAGGGGTGTGGGCACATGTTTTAAGAAAGAAGTAAAGTGAAGAGAGAAAAAAAAGCTATGCAAGTTGCACATGTGATTAACAAATAATAAGCAAAATTAAAAAGAAGACCCATTTGAGGTCTGCCACTTTTTACCGTGGCTTAGGATTTGGAGGAAAGTTTTCAACTTTTCACCCCACCAAATTTTCACATCTGAAAATTTCAAACTCCCGCCAAATGTTTGAAATTTTCAACTTATTTTACAACTTTTAATTTAAAGCTACTATAAAAGGGACCAAAAAATTTACAGAGAACATTCTCTCGTAACTCCACTTCAATAAATTCTTATCCAATCTAAAATAGTCAAAAGTACATTTCTTCTTCTTCATTGTTCCACTTTGCAGCACACACGGGCACTTATAACCATCTACTTGCCTTCACTTCATTGCACACACTTCACCTACAATCCAGATAATACAACCACATCACACACTGCACCTAAGAAGATTATGGATGATTTTTATGATCTTAAGGAGTTGTACCAAATGGATCAGTTTGAAGCCTTTGAAGAATGGATGTTAGATTGTGAGGTAACATTTTCTTCAGAATCTGATAGTGTTGATATTGATATTAATATTGAAGCAGATAATGAAATAAACCCGTTTGTAGTAGTTATGGAACAAAATGAAGTAATAAGAGAAAAGAATGGAGTCAAAACCTTTGAATTGACTAATAGAGATAGACAACACATAGCTCAAAAATTGATTTAAGTAAAAAAGGTAAGAGAGTTTAGGATGGGAGGAAAACTGTCTAAGATGGAGTCATTAAAAAAATAGCAACAGAATATAAGGTACACAGAACAACAATCCACAGAATTTGGTGTAGGGCGAAAAACCATTTAAGTAAACAACAAGTAATCAATGTGAGCAGTAAAAAGACACAAAGAGGTAGGAAAAGGCTTGGTTTTGATACTGAAGTTTTAGGTGTTGTCCCTATCGAAAAAAGAACAACTATAAGGTCGTTAACGGAGGCATTAGGGCTGGTTTACTTAGAGCACATTCTAACAACATTAAACCATTATTGAAACCTCACCACAAGATTACAAGAGTTCAATACATCATGCTAGGTGTCATACCAGGTCGTGTGAATGAACTACCAAAGTTTAGTGCAATGTACAACATGGTTCACATAGATGAAAAATGGTTTTTTACGAGTGCCAAGACTCAAAGGTTTTACCTTTTTCCTTGGGAGGACGATCCTTACAGGGCAACACAAAGCAAAAATTTTATAGAAAAAAGTGATGTTTGGATCTGGTGTAGCTAGACCACACATTACTCAACAAGGGGAGGAAATTTGGGATGCTAATATAGGGACTTTTCCTTTTGTAGAAGGCGTGGCAGCACAGAGAAGTTCAACAAACAGAGCAAAGGGAACAATTGAAATGAAGACAATATAATCTGTCACTAAAGATGTCATCAGATCAATGTTTATCAATGAAATGCTTCCTGCTATCAGAAAAAAATGGCCAATAGGAGCATGCAAAGACATTTGGATACAACAAGATAATGCACGTCCTCATATCAGTCCAACTGACAAAGAGTTCATGGAAGCTGCTACAAAAGATGGTTTCAACATTAGACTTATTAACCAGCCAGCTCAAAGCCCTGACCTAAATATTTTAGATTTGGGATTTTAGAGCTATTCAATCCATATAGTACAAGGAACTTCCGAAAAGTATTGATGATTTGATTAAAGCAGTTACAAATGCATACAATAAGTTTAACGCTAGATCACTCAACTACACATGGCTGCACATGCAATACTGTATGCTTGAAGTTCTAAAAGTGAATGGCGGAAATAAGTACAAAAACCCACATAAAGGAAAGAAGAGGCTTGAAAGGTTGGGATTGTTGCCAGTCCAATTGGAAGTGCCATGTGATCTTTTGGGACAAGCATCTACGTTCCTTAATGAGGGACATATTGAGGTTAATGTTGCTGCTCAGCAAGGCAACATTGAAGACAATATGCCCTGATCAGCACTTTGGGGTGAAAATCAATGTTTTGGGAGTTAGAAGGAAAAAATATTTGGAAAACATGTTTATTTTTTGGAAGCACATATTGAAAAATCAGTTGAGTTTGTAAAACCAATATGCTTTGGTAATTAGTTAGCTTTTCAATGTACTATCCTGTTTTAGTAAAGGTGTTATGCAAACTCTTTTTATGAAGGCATAACAGGAACCTACTTTTGTAAACATCATAATAGAAAATACTTCGTATGAATGTATCATATGTGTATTTATAAGTTCAAAAGGTTATAAAATGAGCATGCCAAGTTCCTTGTATGATCAAACTAACCACAATAGCAACACAATACCCCAATGACACCACAATAGTAGGGACATTTGGTATTCCAAAGAAACAACAAGGTCATATACATATAGCAACACCGCAATACCACACTTAATCATTACATAAATATATGAAGTACAAAGAATAGAACAATACCATGGACAAACTCAGAGAATGATTGAGGGGGTAAACTACCATCTGAATCAAATTTACTAGGAGTTAAAGGGAGAATTGCAGCTTGCGGCAAAGTAATAGTATTGTTATAGAATGATTCCAAGACACAAGTGCCAGGACATGTACGCAGGATTCTGTTACCAGTATTCTGTATCCCCTCCGGTGTTTCTTGACCAACAGCATTGGAGACTTGAGGAGGAGGTGTTCTAGGTTCAGTCTTTTCAATTAACTCACCTTCATCGCTTGAAGATTGGAAGTAAACTTTAAACTTTTTTTTACGGCCTCCTATTCTTCATCAGACTCACAATGTGTTTCCCAATATGGTTGCATACTACTTTCCACACAATCATCATCTTTGTCTGATGAACTAGTATCAGTATGATACCTTGGACGTTTTCCCTTCCGCATTCTTCTAACATACCCCGAATCGGTCTCATCTAATAATCCATCGTTCCACCTCATCCTAAAAAAAATAAAAAAAACGATTTATATATATATATATATATATATATATATATATATATATATATATATATATATATATATATATATATATATATATATATATATACTTCATATAGAGCATCATGAATAGGATGTAAGGTATACTCCATCATCATTATGCTTAAAAACTAGTCCAATAGAGGAAAAGTATAGGCCATCATCATCAAAGTATTTGATTTCATTTAACAACAAAAAGCTCTTTTTACAGTAGAAAGAGAAAAAGATACTCCATCACCATCAAGCCTTTTAATTTATTTTCTGTAAAAAAATTAAATCAAGTCTTTTTCTTAGTTTATAACCGAAACTTAAACCTTCTTTGCTCCATTTACAAGTAAGAAAAAATTATACTCCATCATCACCAAGATTTTTAATTTCTTTTATTTAAAAAAAAAACTAACTCTTTTTTACTTAAAAAGAGATCAACACAAACAGTACTTAAGCCAAGATATTCAATGCAAAGTGGTCCATAACTTTATTATCAACAACCGTCACTATACAAACAATCAAATTAACATAATCTTGCCTCTAAAAACAAAATTTATTGAACATGCTCTAGATTAATAGGGCTATCAATTTGGGTAAATAAGTCGGGTTTGGGTCGGGTAAGTGTGGGCCGGGTCAACTCGGGTCGGGTCATTTCGGGTTAATGTCGTGACCAATACGGGTCGGGTTCAGGTTAGGTTATGCTTGAGTCGGGTAACGTCGGGTCATACATTTTATCGGGTTTGAGTCGGGTTTAGGTCAGGTTAATAACAGGTTGGGTTACATTCGGGTCGGGTGAATAATAGGTCGGGTTTAATTTGGGTTTTCACGGGTTTAATCTAAGATTATCTCAAAAATTTAAAAAAAAAAAAAAAAACCACATGTTAGATGATTTTCTACACAAGTTGAAAAACAAAAACTACCATTCAACCCATTATTAATAACAATTACTAGATTCTTTTTTTTTTACAGGAAAAAAAAATTCCAGATCGAAACGGATAAAATTATTTCGTGTGTCAATACAACTATTCAAATTAATATCAAGTAATTTTATTGAAAAGCACCTTGATTTGAAGCCTCGATTGAATTTTTGTTGAAGAACTCTAGATCTGGTTTTCCCCGTAAGTGTTGCTGAGCTTAACTACGAGATTGCTTTCCATACCGATACATGCAACAACAAAAAAAAAAAAAAAAAAAAGGAGATAGCAAAATAGAGAAAAAATAGAGGAATTTTCTGATAATTTCAGTGCAGAACAAGAACCCTAGATTTGGGTTTGTAAGGAAATTGGGGATGATTGCTGAGCACCAAATTTGGGGAAGAACATGGGTAAATGTCATAAAGGATGAAGATTCTAGAGAAGTGTGGTAACTGTGGTAAATAAATCTAGTGGGAAAGGTTAGTCTGATGTAAGTGTTATTAAGAAATAATGGGGGTTATAATGAAGGGTATTTAGATGACATGAGTAAGGGTAAAATTGGAATTTTATAATTAAAAACTTTCCAAAAATAGAGTTGTTGCAATATTTGTGAAACTTCCTAGTATGGTAATTGTTGCAATATTAACAGAACAGAGGAAGTAAATCACAAAGGATGGTCAAAGAAGATTAAGTGAATAGTGTAAAAGTCCTTATGGTACATAAAAGAAAACAGAGGAAGCAATAAAAATGGAATCATGGTGCTCGGCGACTCCCGGAAGGTTGCTGCACATCCTGCAAAACCCAAATCAAAGATTAATACACATTCATGTAATAACTTTGATAAAATAAGAAAGAGAGATAGAAATTTTTTTTGCGACCATCCAAGGATCACAACATGACAAAGCCACGAGGGCCCTCCAGTAAGCAGCTCGGAAAGCTTGAAGGGTCCTCACCATGACGTTCACGGTCTCCCGCGGAACCTGTTCCAAAAAAGGAAAGTTATAAAAAAAACGTATATGATAGATAAAAATTTATGTACATTTGCGAAACAAAACACACCGACTCAACCGTCTTTGGGCCGTACAGTATGTCCTTATCCTCTGCTGCCGAAAGAGTCTCATGAATCACCGATCCAAAAGCATCGGCGTACGAGATCTCTGCCACATGAGGAACCCAACCGCCCAGCTCGACCCTCTACAAAAAAATACAAAAAAATAAAACAAAGGGTCAATATCCGGACGCCGAAAAAAATATAATAAAACCAAGAGAACGAAAGACTAACCGGAACGAAAGCTGGAAAAAGGAGTCAGTTTGGATGTAACAAAGACCTGATCAGAAGCCCTAGGCAGCACCAACTGTTCTACAGGATAACCAAGGACCGCCTAAGCTCAGTCCTCGGTAGACAGTAAGTTCAGACGCAGCATCCGGATCAGAGGACCCATAGGAATCAAAGGCTCCTCGGACGAAAATTGCCAGACAACGCACTCGCCTAAAAACCACGTGTATGTCCAGTGAAACAAGGAAAGTTCCTGATAAAGCGCCCAGAAACGGCAACGAACGCTGCCTGCCCGGACAGCCTCTGAGACCCCCACGACCAAGCCCCAAGGGCGAAGGTCGACCTACAAATACAACATCATGTTAAAAAATGATGATGACTAAAACGAAATAATATGGACATATGTTATAAAACCATACTCATCGACGCACGAGTCACCGAAAGAATCCTCTGGAAAAAGTCACCGTCTATAGTAGCTCGTCTCTTCCCTATTCGGACCAGACGATGGCCCATAGGGAAGCGAGACGGCGGCCCGAGTGTCTTGGGAGCTAGAAAAGGCAGGTATGAATACCCCAGGCCTAAAAAATGAATGAACGTGATTAGCTTAAGAATCACTAGAAAGATAAAAACGAAAAATAATCATATATGTCGACACATACCTCAAGAATAGGCCATGCCATGAAATGGAGATCCAGGCACCTCAGTAGCTGCCGCGGAATCCATCACTCGGGTCGCTTTACCCATAGCAGTAAGCATACGGGCATACGACACCTCTACTAGTTCAGGTTACCCACCTGCCCCAACTCACTAAGCCAAATGAGTAACCCGACGGCAAAACGCTCCCCCCAATCAATCAGAACAGTGATAGAAAGAACGTGAGCAATGTATATCTGAGCCAGCTACTCAGGAGTACATTGTCGGTCAACCTCATCGGCCGACAACTCATCGACAAGAACCGAGTACAGACAAGAATGCGCATACACATGGAGAGTCGCCGCAAGATGATCCCCCACGAGGTCACGCAGTCTCTCGTCTGACCCCTTTACGTTCCCCAAAACCACGGGCTTGCGTCCAAAAGGAAAACCCATGATCATGGAGAAATCGTAAGGGGTAACCGTCATTTCGCCCTACGGGAAGTGAAAAGTGTTAGTGGAATCCCACCAAAACTCTAACAAACCGCGAAGGAAAGCCAATGGCATAGGCTGACTCAATAAATCCCGAAGGGCTGCCACCTGGGGACCGACCCTCGAAAGCTCGATCACCTCCTTTGCCACCTCGGGCAGAGCATGAAACTGACCTCTTAAGTCAATCGAACCATACAAGCGCATGCTAGGCTCACTTTAAAAAAAAAAGGAACAAAGAAACAAAGCGCAAAGACACTCACTATGCTACGCCAACCCGGAATAGAAACATGATGATCCAGGATCCATTTAAGTACCTACAGATACCAGTTAGGAGGAGCCTCCCAAACTAACTCCTCGTGAGGACGGTGCTGACCTCGGCCTTGCTCACGAACACGTGCCACCCTCTTTCGAGAGCAAACCGCCTCGTTAGGAACTGGTCCTCCTAAGACCTCCTGAGCGTCCAAAAATGGGGGAGAGTCCATGCTACAAACAATCAATCGACGGGATTTAAAAATTACACGATTGAATACATTTTCTAAGTCCTAAACATAAGGAAAAATTCTAGACCCATTTCAGCAGCATAATGGCTGCAAAAAGGGAAAAACACTAAGTCGAAAGCCACCCAATACTTGGGGGCTACGACACCTGCAATTGAACTCAGTAAATGGGGGCTCAAACGCCCATAAAGCCAACCTATACCAGTTCAACTAACCATTCTAAAGATTATTTCTAAGAATCTTGGAAATTAATAGTTCGTGGATGAATATTAATCACCAAAATATAGTTATCATCTACCAAACAAATATTTAGAAGCTTGAAAATGGTACAAAAAAAAAATAGGAAAAACATACATTTCGCGCCATTTCTCAAACTCCAAATTTTCAAAACATGATTCATGAGCATAATTGTAAGCATAACAGTATAATTCATCTCATAATCAACAAGTATAACCAAATGAGCAAGCAAGAACAGCAAACTCGAACTAAAAAATTGAAGAAAAGTACGAAAACGAACATAAACAAAAACATGCTTATACAAGGTTCAATACATAACCATTTTTCATGAAATTAGTTGAAAAACACTCCTTAAACGTAGTATAACAACATCAAACAAACAATTTCAAGAATTATGGGCTGAATCGATAACCCCCAAATTCGAAATTAAGGGTTCTTCGGTTCGATTTTCCCCAATTTCGGCCAAAAATGAGCGAAAACAACAAAAAAGACTTACATTCGATTTTAGCAAACACAAATGGGGTACCAAATCTCCTTTCTTAAGCTTCAAGAAGAGATGAAAATTGAGCTTTGTAGAGAGAGAAAGGAGCGAAAATGGCAAAGAGAGGAAAAAGAGAGAGTGAACTGAAAATCATGCTCTTCGTTCTTCTTTTTTATTGATTTAATTATCGCTCGCAACCCTGAAAGTTGCGCGTGACATCCCAACGCAACTCTGAACATTGCGTGCGCCTAGCCAGCGCGACCTCCAGAGTTGCGTGCAGATACTGGTCACTTAAAAAACCGGTATTCGAATTTTGATCCGTTTTGAATTTTTTCTAACGGTTTTGTGCGTTGTTAGACGTAATAACGCGCAAATTATCAAAATCCCTTTAAATTTCTTTGCATTTTGTAGTTTATTTTCTTTTTTGATAGTTTTTTTGCATCATCTTGTATGCGCACCGTGCTTTGTGCCTGCCCCAAGCATATGTTTTGAATTTTTTCTCGGAAAAGCGTCTAAAAAATATCACGTAGTGGTTCTTTACGTAAAAGCTCCCATAGACAGTTTGGCATTTTCCTGTACTACCCTTAAAGAAATGTCACGCTTTTCGCATTTTTGTCGTTACTTAACAAAAATACTGCGTACATACAGCATAAAATGTATAACGTACGTACAACGTAAAATTATATGGTGTATGTGCTGCGTAAAATTGCACTAGCAACGTGATTGTATCCTATCAAAAACGGTAAAACCCCTCTTTCTTTTAAGGTGTAAGCTTAACAAGTCGACAAGCCGCGCTGACCATCGGGGCCAGACGACCCTCGTTAGAAGAAAATACAGTTAGCTTGAAAGTTGTCTTGCTTTACCGAACAGTTAGGGTGTCCGACCACACCCTGTATAAAGAGCGGCCCCAACTAAAGCTGCACCTATTTAAACACGTGCCCCCAGTCCTGAGATGCGTGTTTTCATCTTGCGGACAAAACTACTGAGATCGTTGCCGATTTTCTTCTATCTCACTAGATTTGGATATGTGCCTCCAGTCTTGAGACATGTATTTCCATCTTGTGGACATCGGATATTTGTTTTGGCAGTGTATGTCAATCTGTTATTCAAGTGTTAGGCTACGAATGCCGAAACACCCCCATTTATCATCTTTTACTTTGTTAAAGTCATGGAATAAAGTTTCAATGACAGATCGAGGGTGTTTTGGGGTTTTTTGGATGTCCCGCAGGAAAGTTACAACACCAAGACTGACCTTCGGCTGCCTGTACTTGCAAAACAACGGAGACTCCCAGGGGTGGGAATTCCGCCTCCGACGATCAAGTTAGAACATGTACGGATGTAATAAGTGCGAAATGTAAATGGGATCAGGCTCCTCTTAAGAGTGGAGTGATCATCCAGCAGTCTGAGATAGCCTCAATATTTGAGCTTTTAGCTCTCTGATTTGTGAGGATTGAATGTGTATTCCATTGAGTCCCCCCAACTAATGCAAATGATCAGTATTTATAGTCTTTGGGACAGGTACCTCTTAGTTTATTTAACCTAATTTGATAGGCTTCCACAGATTTATGGTTTCTAGGGTTATGGGCTTAAAGCCCGTTTTCCCCTTTGAATGACACGTGTCATGCTCTAATTGGCTCAATGAGCGCTGAGCTTAGGGACCCGTGTTGCATTAACATAGGTCCATTTGTCAGGGGTATTTTTACCCTAAACAGAGGGACTTTAGAGCGCAGATGACATATTAAGAGGGTATCATCCCCTTTAAATCTTCTAAAACCTAGTATCTTCTCATGACATGACATCACCTAGGACAGCCTTTACTTGTAAAAGAGTTCTACACTAGCAAAGGGTCAATCTGGATTCTTTAGCGCACTAGATCTAGAAAATACCTTTTCTGGTCTTAGCAGCTACTTGTCTTAAACACTTAGCGAATCGAGAATAGTTTTGACATTCTCAACACTACTAAAAGATTCCTTATATTTAAGGAACTTCGCAGAATGAGTCTCGGATTTATTTCCTTGACTACTTTGATCATCGTCTATTCTAGACTCAATAAAAGTGGGGGATAACTGTAGACATCTACTTTCGTCCCCTGTCCCGACCGAAAGTGCTATGACAATAAATAATTCCATCTTTGTGCTGGATTGAAGTAAGGAATGCTTATGGACTACTGATTAAGGCCTAAACACATAAAACTAACTAGATTGACCCAAACGAAATGAACTAAAGCTCATTAACACTAAAGCCTGATCAGAAATTAGGCCTAATCCCAAGATTAAACATAATTTTGGACGGATTTGGAGCGCCTAGGTTAAAATCTAGGGTTGCGGCAGGAAAATTCGCGCGCAACCCATGAAGTTGCGCTGGCCAGGCAGAGATGCGCTCGCGGAAGATTTAGATTTTCAAAAATTTACTAAATTGAATCTTACCGTAAAACCACGCGCAAGACCAAAGGTCGCGCTGCCATAATCTGCGCAACCGAATCACTTGCGCACAGCAGCCGCGCACAACTTTCAGAGTTGCACGCGCCACCTGCTGCGGCAGAATCTTCAAAACCCTAATCTCACCCATTCCCTATAAATAGAGGTTCAATACGAGCATTAAACACACAGAAAAATAGCCTAAAAGTCAACGGTAACATCTTTGTGGACTTACGCAGTAATCAACCCTCTTGTCCTAAACACTTACGCTTTAATTGTTTCGTTCTTACGGTGGAGGTTCCCCAACAAAAAGGTGTTCATAAGCATTCTAAAAAAAGATCTAGCAAGGAAAAGTGTAATTCCCAAACACTTAGATAAATCACATTAGTTTTCTCGTCCTAAATAACTTTAATCAATGAATTAGTGTTGTTTGATCACTTTAAATAAACTATAATTAATTAATTCCACATAGTAACTTGCGTTAATTGAAGACTAGAATTGGAATAATTAATTGTTGTTTTATCACCTAAGTCAAGGTGAATCTTGTTTATTATTGTTCTTTAATGAATTTGGAATAAATAAGACTAACGACATTCGTTGCAAAGTAATCTTTACGTGATTGACGCGTGCAAATAAAAATCAACTAACTTAGTTTTAGGTACCACGTTGCATATATTATTTGGTGATGAAACTTTGAAAAAGGAAGAGCTAGTAGAGGCCGCACTTAGGCTAGGATAGCAATTCCCCCCTAAAGGGAACGTTATTTTAGTACTCTCGCTCCCGAACTCATTTCTGGTACAAGTAGACCAATTTGGGCACGGGTAAACTTATGATTCGTGCTAAATATCTCTTGAACTCTACTTGGGAGAAAGGCATGAACGAGGTTTATGAATTTTCCTAAAACTCATTGGCGACTCCTTAGTTTCTTACAAAAAACCATAATGATAGAATCAATTCTAATTCAAGGGCCCCCAAACAATCAGGAATTTAAATCCTAACACACCTTCAAAAGTGTAAAGTCCTAGGCTTTTAAAAGGCCATGGGCATAGAGGAAGTGGGATCCCCAACGACGGGCTACCCTCCTCATAGTAAGCAATATTAACTGTTTTCACAATAAATGAGCATTTGGGAGTCCCCGGATATTCTTCACCTAGTTTTAGGGATGTTGGTTTTATTTCTATTTTTTAGTACTCATAACAATGGTTACTATTTTATAAGTATTGATAAGGAAAGAGTTTGAGTTTCCACTGCGAAATTGTGGTTTTCAATTAGTAGTTTGAGTAGTCTTGCGTAATCACGCGGCGGTAATACGCCTAAGTCTATTTCTACGGTATAATTATACGTATTATACTAGTATTTCCGTAGATGGAGATTTGGGGGTGTTATACCAAGTATTATCAAAAATCAAGCTACTCCGGGATAGAAGTTAAGTAAACTAAAGTCACTAAAGCAAGAAATGAAACAAGCTAGAATCAATATAACTAAAGCACTAAGGGAAATGGTTTAGACATAGCATTCACTCAAGCATAAACAAGGCATGGAAATTGAATTTAAGCGTGAACTAAGCATCTCATGTTCAATGATTCAAAGCATAATCTAGCCACCTGCTGGGGCTAATTAATTTCTCAACTCAAGCACAACTTACACTGTCGTCATAAGCCAAACGAATCGAGGTACAAATCAAGAAAATCATTCAATGGCCATTCCTAGACTATGCTTTCGTCATACTCTTGTTCAATCCACCCAATTATAACCATTGATTGGCTACTCAAGAGAAGTAATTGGTACGATATGGAAAACAAAGAATTTTAATCACAAATAAATCAATTCCAAACCCTAAAACATGCTCAAGATCCAACTACACCACAACCATCCCCTTAGTTGGGGAACTACTCACTAACCATGCTAATAACAAGATTAATCAACAAATTAACAAGCATCAACATGATTAACAAGCAATACCAAAAGCAATAATAAAAAACAATAAACAAAAATAGAGACGAGAAGGTAAGAAATGCTCATTGATTTAATAACGAGATCTCCAAAACAATTGTCACAAGTTAAATCTTCAAGCTCCGAATCCCATCATTGAAGATCTCTCACTTTCTCTCTGCAAAGCTACACTAATCTAACCTCAATCTAGAGAGAGAAGCTCTCAACTAAGCCTAAGCTAAAAGTAGGTTCAAAGATCTAAAAAAAGTCCTTCGTACATCAAGCCTCGAAGGTATTTAGAAGCCGCGAAAAACAGGTCAAATAGGGGCTCGGGAGCACTCGCACACACGGGCCTGCGCGCCCGTGAAAACGTGGGTTACGTGCCTAGCTGGGGTTGCTGCGCTCCCGTACTGCTGGGCTGCGCGCCCGCGCACTGGCCGTGACGCCCCCTCGCACTGGCCGCGATGCCCCCTCACAAACCTTCGGCCCCGCTTCTTTACTTTTGCCTTCTGTACGCGCCCGCGCGCATTGTCTGCACGCATGCTCACCATGCTTTCTTCAAATCTTCTTTTGTGCTTCCTTGGATTCTGCTTTGCAACTCTTGACTTCAAAAACCTAATCACAAACACCAAGGGAAGCAATAAGGTAGGGGCAACGGTATGAACACGCAATAAAGGCAAGCATTCGAGCATATACGCGATTTCATCCAAAACACATCGAGACATGAATGCACGCATTATTTGAACAAAACAAATATAAAATGACCTAAGACAAGCTAAAACAAAGCA